GAGAAAAGATATCCAACACCTACTATTTTTAACATTAAAAAATTTAAGTTAAAGTACTACTACTGTGCACTTATGATTCATTTTACAGCCATAATATATTTTTATATTTTATGAGGTATTTATTTTTTATTTCTTACTTTCTACGGGCAAGTTCATAGTACAACTCATGTTTATTAACGAACTAAGTACATGGCGTCCTGGCGTCCACAAGCAATAATTTCATTATTTAAATTTTTTTAATTCTTAAGATAATGTCTTTAATTTGTTGGTTTAATTATAGCCGAATCTTACCGACCCATAAATTTAATTTTCATCAGTAACTCAGCTAGACTGTAGAATTCTAAAATCCTTTGGTACAAGGGTGTTTACAACTTTAAATGGACCTAACAGAGTTAACACCTAACATCTGAAATAAAGCCTACTTTGACCTCATGAAAATCTAAGCAAGAATTGCTATCCTAAAAGATCGTTATAATTTGTTATCCAGAAGAAGAGTGACCATTTTTGCCCTTGAAGACAGCAGCATAAGTAACCAGATTTATTGATATTTGCCAATTAACATTACGATACAATATTTTATCTAGTATGACCTAATGTATGATATTGTCCTGCTATTTGTCATAATAAAAATAACTAAAGAGAAAATAACCGTCCCACCTCAACACCGGTTATTTTGACTCCTTATTCCGGATAATATTCTTCTCCAGAGGCCGTTATCGACTCTTATTACGCACTTATGAGGTATTTACGGCTGGTTTGGCATATAATGTCGATGAACTACCCCGTGATGATTCCGTTTCCGCAGGAGGTAATGGCCAGTTGTCTTCTGACGTCACATTTATTCCGAATGGAACGTTTCAGTTTCGAGATGCGTTTTGCTGATGATCCCGAATGAGAGAGCTATAGAGCGATGTCATTTAGGATAATAGCGGACGATATACGAAAATGAGCCATACCGTTCGGAGGAGTTTGCAGGAAGTAATTTTTTGTTATTTCGGAGTTGACAAAAGAAATTTGCAAGCAGCTTAGAAGTTGTCCTAATTTAAATGTATAATTTTTACAATATTAAATGTAAAGGCACACTATATGTGAGTCAAATTAAATTTCTCTTGTCTGTCATTTATTTCTAAAAATTTTTCTGGGTCTTTTCCTTTTTATTTTCCTATCTGTATACAGATAAAAAAAGTATAGGAATCATAATTTTGTGTGTGTGTGTGTGTGTGTGTGTGTGTGTGTGTGTGTGTGTGTGTGTGTGTGTGTGTGTGTGGGTGTGTGTGTGTGTGTGTGTGTGTGTGTGTGTGTGTGTGTGTGTGTGTGTGTGTGTGTGTGTGTGTGTGTATGTGTGTGTATGTGTGGGTGTGGGTGTGGGTGTGTGTGTGTGTGTGTGTGTGTGTGTGTGTGTGTGTGTGTGTGTGTGTGTGTGTGTGTGTGTGTGTGTGTGTGTGTGTGTGTGTGTGTGTGTGTGTGTGTGTGTGTGTGTGTGTGTGTGTGTGTGTGTGTGTGAGTGTGTGTGTGCGTCTGTATCCACCATAACTCATGAACCGATACAAAGAAAAACATAAAATTTTGTACTTAAGCTTTATTTCGGCGTCCAATAAACTGATTAGATTTTGGGCAGAGTCGGAACATCTGGGGGGTACTTTATTAGTGGTAATTTTTATATTTTATACAATATATCTGTTATTTACGTTTGGAGAAGAAAATTCCTTAAATTACAGTTACTTAAAATATTATTAATATTTTTTGTTCCATACAAAATTTTCCTAAAATGGTCCGTATTCGAAAAATTTGACAAGCTGTAAAAAAATATTTTTTTGTAAAAATTGTTTAAATAAAAGTTGTTTATAATATAATTTTCTATAATTTTTATACTATATATAATTTCTCTAAAATGAACTGTATTCGAGATATTTGAAAAAATGTGTAAATTTTGAATTATGAAGAAAACTCAAAAACGGAAAAAGGAAGAAACATTAAATTTTAAACTTAATTTTATTTAAGCCTGGCATGAAATGATTAGATTTTAGACAAAGTCGGAACATCTGGGGAGGTACTTTATAAGAGGCCGTTTTTATATTTTATGGAATATATTTGTTATTTATATTTGGAGAAGGAAATTGTTCAAATAAAAGTTACTTCTAATATTATTATCTATAATTTTTGTTTTTTTTTCAAATTTTTCTGAAATGGTCCGTATTCGAAATATTTGACAAAATATGCAACATTCTGATTTTTAAGAAAATTGTTAAACTAAAAGTTGTTTCTTGAAAGAGTAAAACCAAATTTGGTAGCTTTTCACACTTTTATTTTAAAAATATAAAAATTTTTAAAAAAACACTAACATAACATATGTTTCGAAGTACAACTTCTTTTTCAAATGTGAAATTTGAAAAAGAAGTTGTACTAAAAATTAAAACAGATAAATCTCAGTAATCCTTGTTAATCATTGTATGAAACAAAACAATAATAAATTTATTACTCACCATATTTACTCTAGTGGTTCTTAAAAATGAAAAAGATTATTTTTATCAGAGGGTTATCTCGATAAAAATTAATTCGTCTTCCTGGCACCAAATTCAGAAAGGAATGTCAATCCAAAATGAAATTCGATTTACAGACACCGAATTGTCCTAGCAAGAAAAGAGATGAGGTGTAATATTTGGCATTAATATTTGAAAATATAAAGAATTTAACAAAAATTCTAAAAAAAAGTAGTTTTTAATATATTAACTTAATAGTTGCACATATTGAAATAAAATAAACATTAAGGTTACTACTCTAGTCAATATCTTACATTAAACTGAAGAATTATTCAAGGTAGTAAAACTGTTACGTACATTTTCTGTTTAAATGGAGAGACTATACAAAAGAGAAAACGAAGCGATTTGTGAACTACAGGTAAATATCTTTAACTTATTTTTAAAGTTAATTTAATTTTTAGTTGTTAATGAGTCCAAACTATAAAACTCAATAAAAAGTTTATCAAGTTGTCATAAATCAGATTTTTTATTTAAAGGTTGGATATATTATCAAATAGTGTTTTATTCTCTAAATGTATTTAATGCATTTATTGTTGAGACTATTAGTTATTTTATACTGTTACGCAGCACCCTGCAGCGTGCGAGTAAATAAAGAAGATAGTATAGTCCAGAAATATCTCGAAATGACATTCCTTGTCAAAGTAAAAATCCGGATTGTTCGAGAAGATTTTGGAAGGTTGATGCGAGCTATATATGTCGTCGACCTAACGTCAGTTTTCGGTTTTATGATAGACGTTATACGTTAATGTTATCAGTTGTACAATTTTTGTTAAAGTTAACTTGAATAAATTAAAATACTGAAAACCTACGTAACATTGGTGACAGCGGTGGGTAGAAGTTCATGGTAAATACTAGATCTACTGAGTACGAAGCAGGCATGGATACCTCAGGCCCACCAGCATGGTTTTTGAAGATAAAAGAGGAGAGAGTAAGGCGAGAAGAGGAAAAGGAAAAGCGTAGAAAAGAAGAAGAAAAGGGAAGGCGTAGGTAGGAAGACAGAAAAAGGGGAAAAAGAAAGGCGTAGGAAGGAAAAAGAGATGGAAAAGGAAAGGCATATGATGGAAGAAGAAGAGGAAAACGGAAGGTGTAGGAAGAAAAAAGAGGAAGAAAAGAAAGGCATGGGAAGAAAGAAGAGCATAAGGAAAGACGAAAAGATACCAAAAACCTGCGTAACAATACTTATTGTAAATATATATTTATTACTGTTGTAATAATTATTATTAATCTCTCCTCCTCTTTTCAAAACCAGTTATGAAATAATCCGAGTATTTGAGAAGCCTCGACTGGAAGAGTCTAAAACTAGTTGCCAAGAATCGCTTGCCTATGCTTTTGAGGAATAATTTTTGTTCTTTTACTTTAATTTTTATTTTTATTTTCCACTGATGAATGGATGATATTTCTGAACTCCATGACCCTTTGGCTGGGTACAGTGCTACCTTAGTCTCCAAATAGTATATTACCACCAGTAGATAAAAAGCTATTAAACTAAATGTTTTCTATAGACTTCCTGGTTGTTACAGGGGCATTAAAGATGTTTGAAAAATAACGGTATGAAAGACATACCGTTACAAATTTCATAAAAAATAACTGGAGTGGTCAGAAAAGGATTCACAACCTTAAGTATCGGCACTCAATAAATAAACACCCTGTATAATAGAAATATATTATAATATAATATTTTTCAGTTCAAAACAAAAATTGAATTTAAAAAATTCGCTTTTTTTTAGTAATGAGATTATTTATTTAACGGGATAATACTATCCATAAATATTTTTTTTATTTGTTTGTTTTCTGTTATGCAAACATTTTTCTACATTACATTAGAGTTGTTTTAGAGTTTTCATCGGAAGCAAATTGCTATTGATGTGGAATTATCGCACACTATTATCTAAATAATTATTTTGTAAAGCATCACTATGGACTTAAGAAACAATAAAAAAGAAAACGATACACCCTGTATAGCAAGCATGTCAAACTGAAAAAGTAACTAGAGCTAAATAAACAAAATGTATGTTTATGTGGGCCGCAACCAGGCAAAAGTGCTGTAGGCAATACGACGCAAATGATACATTTTTGAAGCCGCGCCCAAATGTAGTCAAAAAATCACCCAAAATGTATTTAAAAATATTTTATTCTAAAAAACTAAAAATATTAAAAAAAAAATATCAAAAAATAAGTTTATTTTTAAAAACAGCTTATATTTAATCTTTTCTATTTCTGGAGTAATATTTGCGGTAGTCATCTTTAAACCTAATCCAAGGTATTTGGCAGTCAGTCTGGATCTAACTGGAGATTTATTCCCTATCATGAGTGTAAATAGCTGCTCGTACCGATATGTACTTCCAAACATTGAAACAATTTCATATGCTTTCAAATCTCTGGTAAATATCTGTAAAATTGTAGCAAGCCAACCTCATTGTATTTCGCCTTCAGTTCCGAATTGCATTGGATCTTAATTACCTCTATTTGCATATGACTCGGTACCTACTGATTCAACATCTATGGAAAAAATTGAAGAAAACAATAAGAACTTATCTTCTAAAGATTTAAAATCTGCAATCTTTATTTTAACTTTAGTTTTCAACTTCAGTTTTTCCGCATATTTTTCATACAATTGACCTGCAGTTGATTTATGCATGTTGCATGTAGTTAAATGCATTAAATTATCATTTTTCAATTACTTTTCCCAAAAAAACTAGCTTAAATTCGAATGTTTTAATTTGATCCCACATGTTCGTGATGATTTGGTATTTTCCCTGCAGTCTTAAATGTGTGTCTTGATTTTTAGTTGTTATTGACATATTTCTTCTTTTAAATCCCAAAATTGTTTAGGAACCTTGGAGCATGATAGCCACCGTACTTTGGTATAATAGGATAAACCAGAATATTCGCTTTCAAAATCACTTAAGAAAGAATTATTTTTTATAAGTTTCAGCACATTTTGCATGTTTATTACCTTGCACAACACTTCCTGATTTATAATACAATGCGTATGATGAATTTAGGATTCGTTGTATATTTCACTACGTTTGTTTCGCAGCAATGAAACAAAACCATTGGTTTTCCGGTCATGACAGCTAATTGAGCAACACCCCGAATGTCTGTACTCTCGTCACAAGCAATGGAAAAAGCTTCGAAACAAGATGATTTTGCCTTGATCTGATTACGTATATTGGCAGTCAAATCCGAAACTCTTTCCGCAATTGTATTTCGAGACAAAGAAATTACTTCAACAGCCTTCGCGCTTCCTGGACACAAATTTTGAAGCTTTAATAAGACATTCCTTGATAAAATCACCATCTGTGAACGGTTTTGAGTGTTTAGCTATTAACACCGATAATAGTTGCTTGCACCGCCGATTCACTTTCTTGTGGTATTTTACTAAACATAAACTGTTGTTTCTTCAATCCTAACTTAAGCTCTTTCAACTTTCTCTCCCTCATCATCCTTCGTAATTATCAAATTTTAATTTATGTTGGTCATAGTAGTGTTTAATTTTATATAATTTTGGTACGCTAATAGTATTATTGCATATCTAGCAAATTATTTTATCTTTTACTTCATAGCAAAAATACTCTAGTTCCCACTTTTCTCGAAAATTTCGATGTTCGTCATCAATTTTTCGTTTCATTTTACTCCCACTCGGTTTAGATAAAGACATACTGAATAGAAAAGTCTGAAATAAATTAATAATATTAAATTCACAATTATGCATCGTTTTAATTAACATTAACTTACCAAACCGAAAATAACTACGCACTGAACAACTAATACGAATTAATCGTTATGTTTCTCAAAGTAAATAATATTGTCAGTAAAGAAGTTCTTACACGAGTCTAATAGAAGTTATTCTTTCACACTTTTTTTAAGTAAATAATTATCTACGTAATGCAACTGGTCTTGGTCTTTCTTGTCAGGCGCCCACACACCGGGCCGCAAACATTTTTGCACCGGGCCGCAAGCGGCCCGCGTGCCGCGAGTTTGACATGCTTGCTGTATAGGTTTCATTTTGAATTTATCGTAGGACACTACCATATTTTTAAGGGTGACGTGATATTCTACATGCTTGGTGATTACTTAGATATTATTAATAAGGAATAAATAATTTGAATAGTATGCAGTATTTTGTAACGCAATAATTGACTAACTGACTCCATAAACAAAAAAAAGTTAATTAAAAAATATGGTGATACATTTTGTAATATCAATATGTTATTAAAACCGGTTATATTCATCTACCCAAATGCCTACCTCTGTCACAATAAACATGCTTAGCAATAAACCCACGTATCTACTTATATCGCCAATTCAAAGAAACCCCATAAATATCCCCCGTTGCCCCCTAGATAGGCACCATCCCTCGGGATCTTTCATGTACATTTAAAATTACGCTGTGAATCATTGGAAATCCCTTCATTTGAGAAAAACGCGAAAAGTGCTGAACGTGGCGGCAAAATATCGTTCAAAGTCATTGCCGTGCGAAATTTGTTTCTGAAATTTATCAAAACCAAAAGTCAGAATAATCTTTGTTGATATAATGGGAGCAATGGGCCATGTTCAGATGTGAGATATGCTGTTTTATAAATTATATTGTAATACTTAGTCACTATACAAGTTATTCTAAATAATCAGTTTGTTAAAAAAGCCAAAAGTTTTTAAAAGTAAAACCATTTATAACTTAAAATTTAAAATGTGTACGGCATCGGGAATAGACCAATCAGCTTGTGTCGAAGTTTTGTTTGTTATACAGAACCAAGCCAACGAACAAACCAATACTATTAATAATTGCAAAAACACTTTAACATGAAAGTTAATCACGAGTATAATTATAAATTATTTAAAATTTTAAGGATCAACATGACATTTTTAATAATATTACTGTGTATACCGAAGTAGTATTTAACATTAAAAAATACTGTGTAATACTAGACAAGGATTTTCTTCTATTACCACTTTCTCCATGAAAATTTAGTGAACAAATAGAAATATAAATATCTTTAGTAACATCATCCATCAATCGATCGAAAACCTTTGTCACTTTGACCACATTTTTTCACTCATAATGCTTATTTTGAACAGGTATAATATGTATTTTGCCTAATGATTTGATAGTTTTTTACGATATTGCAGGGAGGTTTTTTTAAAAAATAATAATTTATACCGTGTGTCACTTTTACCCACTCATAACAATACCGTTTAGTTTTCGGTTTCCGTAAACATAACATAATTAAATGATTACAAAAATTGATTTTTCAATTAAGACACTTATTACTTTATTTTTTTATCCCATTTTTTAAACGAATACACTTAATATTAATATTTATCTATTATAATTTTTTCACGTGGATATTTTAACATGCTTGTTTACAAAAAAACAGTACGAAAAAGATGGCTGATACTGACGCATGCGCACAAAAAAATATTGTGATGAAAAGTACTATTCGATTATATTTGCAATAAACGGAATACCTACACATGAACATAAAGTATTTATTTACTTCGTTTATCTTATTCAGGTACTTATTTAATACTATGTTAATAAATAAAATTTTTACAGATTTTACATTTTTGTTTGTATACAAATATTCTAATCTCTGAAATGTGATAAATTAGTAAAAAAAAAACACAATTGAACAGTTTATTAAATTATAACGTATTTAGTCTTACAAAATGAGTTCTTCTAATTTACACAGAAATGTAAAAGGTTTATGTAAGCTACATTTTCCTTCTCATAAATATCATTGAGGATTTTAAAAACAGTAGGTACTGGGCAATCCTAAATATTCCTTCGATTTATTTTCAATAATTTTGAGAGTTAATTGTATTAATTATGATTTGTTTATTTTAGTGATAAATGAGAAATAGTTAACAAATTCGACATTCTACATTAGTTTTAATGAACAGAATAAACCATTAATTATATATTTATATAAAATGTTCATTTAAATATGTAAAAATTTTAATGACAAAAAACACTAAAGATTCTAATTTCATAAACCGGTTCTGTAAATGATTTGTTTACAACGAGCTCAAAGTTGATACAAGATAGATACATATGGATAAGCAATCTATGTAATTATGTATATCATTGTGTGTGAGACAGGAAGTGTGCTCTGTGGAAATTTATAAAAAATTTTTACTACCGAATCAAATCCAGGTTTTTAAAGCGATATGTTTGTACATCCACGGATACAACAAGTTTTTTTGATAATGATATTACGAAAACAATTCGACTTTATTTAATTAATAATTACTAAACAATAAATGCCGTATAAAGCATTAATAAATCTCGCCCAAAAAGTGCACATTTTTGTCACCAGCTGGCGTTAAAGTCATGACGCACGGTCCCTATAAATATGGTAAAAGTTTAAACATAAATATTACCTTTAAAATCATTTAATATATTTTATATTTAAAAGATATTTGTTTAACGATATTTCAAGGGTCTAAAAGTAAGACAATGCACACAAACGAACGTATATTAATTCTCGAATACCGTCTAACCGGCAATGTTATGTGGTTAGTTCCTATTGGTCTATTCCCGGCTGCATCATAAATTTTAAAAAATTAAAAACTCTGGCAATTGAATAGACAAAATTTTTAAATGTAGCCTAATTTTGAACTGAATTATTCTTAAAAAAAGTTTCAAAATTTTTTGACCATATCCCATTTCCAATGTGTCAATTAATATTTTTTCTTTCATGCCATTTAAAATTTTTCTTTTTCAGTGTATCTTACACTTTTTGCCCCAAATTTGTGGGCTCCTGGTTCGAAATGCTTCAGGCCACATGTTTATACAATCTCTCTTTGTCTTCCCATCCAGACCAATCTCTCTCTTATAATACTGTTTTAAAATGCTCCACATCAATTAAATTGGATTAAAGATACAATGATAAGGATAGGGACGTAATATCTTATGTCCATACTATTCAGCTACATATACTTTTGGAAGAAATATAATCATTAAAAAAATATTAAAAAATAGCTTTACATTAGCGTACAATAAGTTTCAGAAGTTCAGCTTTAAATGTGACTAAATAAGCTTTGTTCTGATTGGTCTGCGACTCTAGAATTTAATCCTTAATCCAATTACTGTTTGGTGTTTTATATACCGATGTGCTATGACAACTCATAGCCAATAACAATACAATTACCAATAATTCAAGGATTGAGTCTTCGAAGCAATAAAATTGTTCATTGAACCATTTTAAAAACTGTTCATTATCAATTTTACCACCATAATCACACCATTAATGAATTTATTTTCGTTTTCAGTATGAAGAACTGTACGAGTAAATAAACCTATAAAAAAAGATATTATAAATATATGTATATACTTCTTAACTTTTTTTAACAACTTCTTGTTATAAATTTTTGTACTTTTTACACTTCTTTTATTGCTGTATTGCCAAGAGCATTAATACCATTTTGAAAATTTAAGTTTTATCAATAAAAACGAACTGTTATAAACTTGCTTCTCTATTCTTAACATTCTTTCTTAAACTTTCTTCCCGTTTAACGGAAACATCAGGAAGTTCCATAATACCTCACCTTGTTTTTTTTTATTTGAAACCTACTACTAATGAAAAGGTATACAATGTACGACATCCATTTAACAACTTTCTTTCATTGAGTTTT